GCCAGATCATCCTTGGTAGATACCTCACTTGATGTTGACTTGTGCAGTTGGCTTGAAGTTGGCCTCTAGGGTTGTTTTCCACATTCTCATTGAGTTCTTGATGAAGGCTCTTAGAGTCCTGTCAGTGTTGTACAGTTCCAAGCATTCCAGGATCCATGTGTGAGACACTGAGTCATAGGCTTTCTTGTAGTCAATCCAGGCAGTGCACAGGTTGGTATGCCTGGTCTTGCAGTTTCGAGTGACTACTTTATCAACCAGTAGCTGGTGCTTTGCTCCTCTGGTGTTACTACCAATTCCTTTCTGGGCGCTGCTCATGTACTGAGCCATGTGCCTGCTCATCTTAGCTGCTATGATGCCTGACAGGAGCTTCCATGTTGTGCAGAGGCAGGTTATTGGGCGGTAGTTGGATGGTACTGCTCCCTTCTGAGGGTCCTTCAGGATCAGGACTGTCCAGCCTTCGGTTAATTACTCGGGGTGAGTTCCATCCATTAGTAGCTGGTTCATTTGTCCCACCAGGTGCTCATGCAGTGAAGTTAGCTTCTTTAACCAGTAGGTATGGATCATGCCAGGGCCTGGTGCTGTCCAGCTCTTCGTACTTGAGACCCTCTCTTGAATGTCTGCTATTGTGATGATTACTGGGTTTTGTGCAGGGAGGTTGCTGTGGTCTGCTCTCAGCTTAAGAGCCATTGGGCATTGTTATATGATGCCTCCTTCTCCCATATGCTCTTCCAGAACTGTTCAGTTTCCAGCCTTGGTGGGTCTGCTCTCATGTTATTAGCCTGCCACTGATATATATATTATAATTGCCCAATTGCACAGCCTTAAGAGCGTTTATAAGTACTTTACTCTTATTTATTATCTCTTGTCCTAATGCACATTTCTTTGCTTGTTGATATGTACATGCACATTGAGAGCTGCTGTACCAGAGTCAAATTCCTTGTGTGTCCAACACACCTGGCCAATAAAGCTGATTCTGATTCTGATGTTAAAGTGGAAGTGTTGCATTGAATTACACACAATTGTTCAGGCGTACCTAATAAAGTGGCCAGAGAGTATATTTTTCATGTGTTGGTTGTCCTAACATGACTAATTCTGTCTCTGCAAATTGCACAGTGACGGTTTGCATGCAGTTATGTCTAGCTCATCACTCCTATCTCGTTTTTCAATGAGGGTCACAACTGTCATGTCTGGGTATTTCCCTCACTTGCCCTCCTCCATCCTTTCTCTCCCTTGTGTCTCTGCACGACTTTCTTCGTGCCTCTGTTTGGGACGGATGGTCTTCATATTCCCTTTCACCAAGGACTCTTTGAGGGGCCACCACCTCCACCTGTCACCACTTGCGGGCAGTGGAAGCCACATCAGCGAGGAGGGGGCTGCTGTTCCCACCCCAGAGTCTGAACACTCTGTTGAACACTCAGAACAGGAGCCAGCAGAGATGTTGAATGATTTGCAGCAGACGGAGGCACGAGGAGGGCTGGAAGATGAGCATGCCTTGAGAGAAAAGGGAGAGAATGAAGGAGGAGGGGAAGTGGAGGAGGGAGTTAGGGAAGATAAAGGAGAGGAAGGAAATGAGCAGGAAGATGGAGAGGAAGTAGATGAGAGAAAAAGCAAAGAAGGGGCAGATGTGATGAAAAAAGAGCAGGGAGGAGGTGAAGCAGCTGTAGAGAGTAAGAAAGAAGAGGAGGATGTAGAGAGTGACAAGGTAGAGGAAGAATACTGTGATGGTGAGGATGAGGGTGGAGTGACAGAAAACATGAACCACAGTGAGAGACAGGAGAGCAGTGAAAGAGAGGAAAATGACAGCGATGAGAAAGTAGAAATGTGCGTAGAAACCCATGATGATGAGACCAAAGACAGAGAGGAGAACAAGGAGGCCTCAGAGGGTTTAATACAGGAGAAGGAAGTGGTGGAGGAACAAGTTCAAACAATGAAGAAAGAAGAAAAATTTGAGGAGGATATTGATGAAGTTCTGGTGAAATCCTTTAGAAGTGATAAGGATGGAAGGAATGAGGAGGAGGAAAATGACAAAGCAATTGAGAGAAGCACAAATGATGAAGAAGGCCAGAGTGAAAGTAAGAAAGATGAGGTAGAGATGCAAAGCAAAGGAGAGGAAGAGAAAGAAACGGAGGAGGCTGATGATGAAAGCAAGGAGGCTTTGGAGAGATGCTCTGTCAGCCAGAGGAAACTGATGGAGAGTGATGAGGAGGTGTTGCAGAGCAGAGGAGAAACAGAGAGGGAGGGTTTAGAGGTAGAGGATGTTTCAGATGCCCAGATGCCACAAGTAGCCTCGAAGAGTGAGGAGGAAGTCCTCGAGGTCTTTGAGATGGAAGCGGCTCACGTACAACCAACCAAGCAAGGCCAGAAGATGATGCTGAGTGATCTTAAAATGCTTGACCAAAAAAGAAACACTCTTGCTGGCAAGATGAAGAGTGGGACAAGTAAAAGCCCTTTTCCTGCAGAGGTAGGGTTTGGTGTTGCCTCTGTGCGTGCTCACACTTTCCCATCCATACCAAACCCCACCCCATTCC